GTGTGTGTGTGTGTGTGTGTGTGTGTGTGTATATATACGTATGTATATAATTTGATCAACAATATTAAATTGAAAATATTAAATATAAAAATTGCAATTTTTGTAACATAAATGTATAATTATATTTTAAATGATTTATTTTAAATGTTACAATATTTACTGTTTGTATTGTTTTGTATCAAATAAAAGCATGTATTTATGCGCACATACATTTAAAAAATATATATTAAATAAATTAATAAATTGTAATACATTTTGAATATTTCAGTATTACAGTTTTTACTGTGTTTTACAATATATTTATATATTTTTAATTGTTTGTGTGTGTGTGTGTGTGTGTGTGTGATGCATTTATCAACAATTTTAAAATGTATTAAAATGGAAGTTATTTTAAAGTATTTTTAATCAAAAAATGCATACATTTATACACACGTTTTGATTTATCTATTTATTTATTTGCTTCCAGTATACATATTATATATTACTGCACTTGCATAATAGTATATTATGCTAATCCAGACACAGAAGTTACTCCCCAAAACACTGCGACTCAACTCCGCCGGCATATGTCTATTAAATAAATTTGCTTTGGAAGTGCGCGAGCCAATTGAGCTGAGTGTTTGGAGTGCGTGAAGCGTCGCTGTGAAACTCGCTCAGATGGCATGAGAAGGAAGCAGCAGAGATTGATGCAGTGACCTTATGTTTATTTGGCCCTGCACTGCCTCCATTGAGAAGGAACTGGATAGGAAATCAATCTGAATTCAGGCTGAAATGAGTTCCTCTACTTCACGCTGTTCCCCTGGGGTTTAGCCTATGAAATCACAAATCCAGCATGGCACTGAAGCAGAGAAAACACTCCTCCTTTATTTACAGTCTTTTTTGCGCTCTCTCTATCTCAGTCTCGGTCTCTTTTTTCTGCTCTTTTATTCTGCGTATCGAACGGTTTCTCCTCAGTTGGACAGACCACTATATAAATCACACGCTGTAACTTTACAAGCTTTTCTTCGGTGGCTCATTCTAAATATGGAAATGTTGCGCCGCTGAACAGTCGGGCTATTATAATGTAAGTGGATGCAAAATGAAAAGAGTTTTATGCCCTAAACGCTCGATCATTTTAAAAGAGCCTCGGGGTGTTTGATAAGATACCGTATCTGAATGCTATCAAAACAATTGTTTTTTCATGAATATTGGCTTCAGTTTCCCAAAGCTAATTGCTCTTTTATGAGCGACTTTGTTCTTTTTATGCCGTAATTAACATCAGTTAGCAGGTTCACATAATTCAGCATTGGTTTGAAATACACTGGAATTAAGTCAGCCTGAAAGAGCTGATCTAACGATTATCCAGACAACGGTTTGTGTTTTATTTGTTCAATAAATTGTAATATTATCCTTCAGAGTTTGTGAATACTGGTATTTTTCTGGTGTTTTGTGGTGAAAATGATGCATCTTATTACTTAAGACACTTGTGTGAATCTGTATTGTTCGATAAATTCAGAATCTGTAATATCTGCAGATAAGATAAATTATTCCTCAAATCATGTACTTAATTTTATTTTGAGGCAACACATTATTTATTTATGCATTTATGTATGCATTCATTTATGATGATTGATATTTAGGAGTTATTGTGCAATATTTTCATGAAAATAATGTGAAAATTAAAAGTATATATGTGGAATATATTTGACCTAAACCAGGTAATAATGCAGAAAATAATTGGTTTTGTTTTGAAAACATCCTTACAATCTCTTTTTTTTTTTTTTTGGAAAAAGAAGTGAATCAGTAATATTCAGTAAATTGAGAATCTGTAAACTGTAAAGACTGTAGTATTATCCTGCAGAGTTTGTGCTCTAAACGTGAATGATTCCTCAAATCATGTCTCTTACATGATCAGGCCACAGTAAAACGTGAAAAATCCCAGACATGCTGTTTTATGTCGCATGTTTTTTGTCGTTTGTCAGCCTGGTTTTGTGTGTTTCTGTCCGGCTGTTGGTCCTGTCGCTGAGGTCTGGTTGAGCTCTGTCTGGTCAGTCGTTTTAATGATGGTCTCTCTCAGGTGTTCTCTGGTGTTGTCTCAGTAGATTGGCTCACAGCGGGACGTTTCATCTCACAGAGAGCTGCTGAACGTTGCTGCTGTGTTGACTTCTCTCTGACTTTGATTGCTAGCTTTACTGGGGTTGAATCCAGTGTTGGACCGCTGTTCTCATGTCCACAATGTGTGCATTTTAAAATGCATGGTGTGTATGATTGCCCAACTAAATATTATAGTGCATATTATAGTCTGCCTTATACATATGTTCTGATTATGACATTGAGAAAAATATTCTGTGAAATGTGAGAAAATTTTCAAATTCATATTTTGTGCATTCATTCATGCATTAATATGTTATTCATTTATGCATTTATTTTATTTTTATGCAATTTATACATGCATGAAATAACTGAAATTATAAGAAAGAATGTGCTACATTTTAATTAAAAATGTCAAAATGTTATATATATATATGTGTGTGTATGTGTGTATGTATGTATATGTGTGTGTATGCATGTATGTATGCATGTGTATATGTATGTATGTATATATATGTATGTATATATAAGTTTTATACATTTATTTATTTAGGTGTTAAGATTTTGTGCATTCATTTATGCATGCATATGAGATTATAGGAGTGAATGTGCAAGATTTCTCTGCTGACTAATCGCTTCTCCTGTTGGCGTTTTGAAAATTTTTCAGGATAGAAGTTCCAGTATTAAATCTTAAAAGCTAGAAGATGAAGTCTGCTTTTGTAGATTTATTGTAATGCTTAAATTAAAATAATACATGGACGTTTGAATAGTACCTTCATTAAATTTAATGCAAGTTTAATGTGAGTTTTTTTTAGCATGTGCTTGCAGCTCTGAGGTGTTTTTTTAGTTTTTTATTCTTCATTACACAGTTCTTTTTAGAAGCAGAACGCCTACATCCTACTAGAACTGACAACTTCCTCACCCAAACACGCTCGCGCTGTAGAGTTGTGTTTTGTGTGGACTGAAGGATTAATGTTCATTGTGCCGTGGAAGTTCAGCAGACGGATTACAGCGAAAATACAAAACCAATTCAATGCTCTTTTAAACAGTCATAAAGAAAGTGCTTCTGGACTCTTGGAAATGGGGAAATGGTCATTGTTCAGCACTGGACACTGTTCTCAGGAGGTCAAGACAAGCGGTTAGAAGGTTTGATTTAATTGACCCTTTTGGGATGGATGGGTTTGAATATGTATAACCTGGCAATATTGCCACCATTTTGACCATTTTTAAAGTACTTCAAGAATCTTTTCCTGCGTTTGTGCTGTGCGGTGACCCATAAACTTGGTGCAATCTTGATTTTTTTTTGTCCAACAGAACAGTGTCAGTCTGGTAATGAAAGAACCTTTTGAACCCTGTAACTCTTTAAAAAATAAAATAAAATAAAAATGTTTTGTGCTGTTATTCCATTTGAGGACAACCCCCAAAAATGTTATGTGCAAACAAAAATGGACTACATGCACAATTGTGTCCTCTTTTGAAAGAACACACTTCAGAGTTTATCCAATGGTCAGCATTACATAAAGTCATAACAGAAAATTGTTATAAAAGCTCAAATATAATATATTTTAAATGAATCATCAGTTTATTTCTATAAGCATTTCTATAAAAATGTTTTAGCAGACTTTCAGAAATATCTTTCCCTCAACTTCAGGGATTTCATTTTATTTCATTTCATTTTTTATTGATTTTATTTGATTTATTTTAGATTATTATTGTTATTATCAATTTATTTTTAAATAACAGACTTTTTTAAATCAATTTATTTCTATAATTGTTTCTTCAAGCTCATGCACTTTTTTTATTTTAATTAAAGTTTTTATTTTTATTATTTGTTTTATTTATTTTTATATTATTAATGTCATTATCACCATCTTTAAACATACAAACAAATCTTTAAACAAAAGCTCAAATATAATATATTTTAGATAAATAATCTGCAGTTTATTTCTGTAACATTTTTATAGAAAATGGTTTAGCAGACTTTCAGAAATTTTAATTGAAATTGTGTATTATTATCATCATCATCTCTCTTTAAACATTGGAGTTTCATATATTGTTTTGTGTAGAAGGACTGATCACAGCTTTATTAAAGGTTTGTCGCGTGTATCCGGCAGCTCTCGCTCCGGTCTGGCCTGTGTGCTGTCTCTGGTTTACCGTGAAATACAATTGCTGAGTATTGCGACGGAGGCTGTTTTCCCAGGTCATTTTTCACAGTGAGCCGCAGACTTGTGTTTTATCTCAGCACACAGGCATCATTAGAGATGACGCTGTCCGGCTGCAGAGCCACTGACTGTTGTGCCGCGCATCTCTCCGTATATTCCACAGAGAGAAAAGTGTTTCTTGGACATGCTTAATCTGTCTTCTTTTCAGCGCGGCAACGCTCCCCATCCATCAAACGCTGCTCACAGTGGCTGCGCGTCAGTCTGCCGTCCCGTGCAGGATTCTGCTCTCTGTCTCCCCTCCTGTTATCTAATATATTTTTAATGCATGACTGTCTTTGTGTGTATGTAGCTCTCTCTCTCTCTCACTTCTCTTTCTGTGTTTCTTTATCAAACTGCTGTGCCCTCAAGCACAGAAACACAAGCAAGAAATCTCCCTGAATTTTCACTTTCTATTAGCATCTGTACTCCGATTCGCTCAGAGAGCCGCTCGGCTTCGTGATTTATGGCTCTGATAGAGAAATTTTATATTTACAAGCAGCAAAATAAACATCGCAAATTTGATTCCAGCATGTTACGGCCTGCCTTGGGGATGGCTGTTTATTATATGTCTGGAAGAAAATGTGAAGAGCACAGCGAGTGTGTCTGGCCTTGAAATGAAATATTAGAGCGGTTATTGTCATGTCAGGAGGCCGTGTTTTCGGGGGGAGGAGGTGGGTTTTTTGCTAGTTGTTTGTTTTTGGTTTGTTTCGGTCTTTTCTGATTGGCTTTGCCCTGATGGAGTCTAGTAGAAACAGACTTTTGACTTTCATCATAAGTCTGGACAGGAAGAGACAGAAACATTGATGCATAAATTGTCCAATTCCCAAATTAGTTGTGCTTTTACATACTGTTTAAAGATGGTTGTGTCTGAAATGTCTTGAATATATATTTGAAATATTAGAGAAAAATAATCAGTTTGACCAAAAATATTTTTTATATATATTTTTTATATATTTTATTTTATTATTGCATTGCAGTCTAAATAATTGCCTTTATTTATCTATCTATTTATTCATTCATTTATTGAAATAAATAGGGCTATGTATGTCTAAGTGCTTAGTTTAAAATGCAGACATATTCCATTTTATTTACTTTATTTAAACTTTGTTTAGTTTTGTTTGTTTTGTTTTCAAACCAATCCCCATGTTTGATTTTACATGTTGTTTATATGTGGGTATATCTGAAATGTTGACCAAAAATGTATATTTTATTGCATTTCATTTTATTGCATTGCAGTCTAAGATGTATTTTTTTCACATGTCATTTTTTTTTATATTGGATTATGTATTTGCTTACTTGCTGTCTAATTGCTTAGTTCAACATGCAACCACTTTACTTTTTTAACTTTATTTTGCTATTTTTATTTTCAGTCAAATCCCCAAGGTAGTTGTGATTTTACATGTTGATACTCAATATGTATCAGTAGTCTACCAAAAGTAATTTTTATAGAGAGCCGCTCGGCTTCGTGATTTATGGCTCTGATAGAGAAATTTTATATTTACAAGCAGCAAAATAAACATCGCAAATTTGATTCCAGCATGTTACGGCCTGCCTTGGGGATGGCTGTTTATTATATGTCTGGAAGAAAATGTGAAGAGCACAGCGAGTGTGCCTGGCCTTGAAATGAAATATTAGAGCGGTTATTGTCATGTCAGGAGGCCGTGTTTTCGGGGGGAGGAGGTGGGTTTTTTGCTAGTTGTTTGTTTTTGGTTTGTTTCGGTCTTTTCTGATTGGCTTTGCCCTGATGGAGTCTAGTAGAAACAGACTTTTGACTTTCATCATAAGTCTGGACAGGAAGAGACAGAAACATTGATGCATAAATTGTCCAATTCCCAAATTAGTTGTGCTTTTACATACTGTTTAAAGATGGTTGTGTCTGAAATGTCTTGAATATATATTTGAAATATTAGAGAAAAATAATCAGTTTGACCAAAAATATTTTTTATATATATTTTTTATATATGTTATTTTATTATTGCATTGCAGTCTAAATAATTGCATTTATTTATCTATCTATTTATTCATTCATTTATTGAAATAAATAGGGCTATGTATGTCTAAGTGCTTAGTTTAAAATGCAGACATATTCCATTTTATTTACTTTATTTAAACTTTGTTTAGTTTTGTTTGTTTTGTTTTCAAACCAATCCCCATGTTTGATTTTACATGTTGTTTATATGCGGGTATATCTGAAATGTTGATCAAAAATTTATATTTTATTGCATTTCATTTTATTGCATTGCAGTCTAAGATGTATTTTTTTCACATGTAATTTTTTTTTATATTGGATTATGTATTTGCTTACTTGCTGTCTAATTGCTTAGTTCAACATGCAACCACTTTACTTTTTTAACTTTATTTTACTATTTTTATTTTCAGTCAAATCCCCAAGGTAGTTGTGATTTTACATGTTGATACTCAATATGTATCAGTAGTCTACCAAAAGTAATTTTTATTTTATTGCATTGCATTGTGGTCTTTATTGTATTGCATTGCATTGCGGATGTATTTTTTCTGATTTAATTTTTTTGTATTGGGCTATGTGTATCTAACTGCTTAGTTTAAAATGCCAACACTTTGCTCTTGAATGGATGTAAAGTTGGGTAATTATGCAAACAATAGCTAAGTATACATGTATACACGACAACGTTTTCAAAACGATTCGTGTTTACACATATCCACGGAAATGGCCAAAAACGCTGTATTACGTATGCCAGGCCAGTAGTTGGCACTGTCACCTTGTTAGTAAACAGTACCTGTAGGGAAGTGACGATTATGTGTTGTATATGATGCGTCTCCGCTGTTGGTTGTAATTAGGGCTGGGTATCAATTCAGATGTCCCGATTCGATTTCGATTCGCAAGCTCTCGATTCGATTCTCGATTTTTTTTGATTACATTCAGTGAATATAGTTTTAATATTGATTGCTATTGATATTTCTAAAAAATGAACAGTAAACATCAGTTTACAAATGGTGAATTAATAAAAAGAAATACATTTTTTTTGTATAGGGTCCTTTTTTAAACAATAATAGGGCCCTATAAAATGTTCTTAATTTTTCTGGTAATCAGATGAAGGCATAAAACATTACTTTAATTTATCCTAATCAAATGAAAATTAAACCCTTTTATTTTTTGGCAAACAAAGTGCTGCACAACAGAGGTTTACTGTTAAAATTGAAAAGAAAACAGATGTGATTATTCCTTTAAAAATAAAGATGTATTCATATTTATTAGCAGTAGTAGCATTGAGTCTTAAAGGGATAGTTCACCCAAAAATGAAAATGTGATGTTTATCTGCTTACCCCCAGGGCATCCAAGATGTAGGTGACTTTGTTTCTTCAGTGGAATACAAACAAAGATTTTTAACACAAACCGTTGCAGTCTGTCAGTCTTATAATGGAGGTGAATGGGAATCACGGCTTTGAGAGTAAATAAAAACATACACAAACAAAACCAAATTAAACCCTGCGGCTCGTGACGATACTTGATGTGTAAAGACACTAAACGATCGGTCTGGGCAAGAAACTGAACAGTATTTATATTGTTTTTTTACCTCTGATTCACGTAATGTCTGAACTGTTCGATCTGTCCTGAGCAGTGGCGCGTTCTCCTGAGCACGTTCTCAACAGCTGGCGCCTGACACGTCGTCGTCTTGCTTTACGACGGATCTCAGACTTATAAGTGCATTACCACCACCTATCTCTCAAATGGACCATTGACACTCCTAATTGAGATTG